ATTGCGCCATAGTCCATGATTGATTGCAGCTGCTTATTTTTGTGGAGCAGACTGGAATAAGAGAGCTCTTCATGATACAGCAAATGACATAACCTCGACAAAAATTTTCGAGTTACGAAAGTCAGGGGCGCAAACAATGAGAAGCCCTGCAAGTCTGCCGAGGGGACTGGTCACCATCACACGGAAACGGTGTATCTCTTCTTGGGAACGGTAAACATGTCCTGTAAAGTTACTGTGGTTTTTTACTACCGTTCTGCTCGACTCACTTCCTAGACCAGCGATTTGACGAGTGCCAGACTTTATGATTTCGGCGAGAGGCGAAAGCGTGCGGCTGGATAAATCGGAGTTTGCCACGCTCCCCAAACAATATGGAGCGTGGAGAAACCGTGGGAGCATCCTTGGGTTGGGAGTACTGAATGTATACTCACTCATATGGTTTACTACATTTTATGTAACTTTTTTCAAGGGGACCTCTGTAAAGGGACCACTGCTATGCGTGGCTGCGTACTTCATTCAAATGTGGGAGTAGCTGGGCTTCGACGGGGATGTTGCACTTTCAGAACAGTTGCATACATGCCTATGTCCAGTACAAGAAATGATAACACCTGTATCATATATAAGTATTCCACGAATAATGCACCGCTCGCCATGTTCAAGTCAAGTACGCAGCCACGCCCACTCCATCGCTGAAATGTGTACATACATACATACTTGATGAATTATATATAAGCAGTGATGTTCATGCCCCATAGGCTATATCATATCTTAGAATCAGCACCTAGCTGATGTTGTCACCTGCGTTAAATATGATTAGCGACCCTTTCTAACGCCTCTTTTCAGATCTTAGGCAGCGTTCAGACTTGTAGCGCTACAACTGTAGCGCTACGATCGTCGCGCTACATCGTCGCGCTACAGCGTCGCGCTACAGCGTCGCGCTACAATCGTCGCGCTACAGCTGTCGCGCTACAATCGTCGCGCTACGATCGTCGCGCTACAATCGTCGCGCTACAGTTGTAGCGCTACAATCGTCGCGCTACGATCGTCGCGCTACAGCTGTATCCAGCTTCCTTTTATATTTTTTCCTTTCATTCAACCCTCTTTTGCCATATTTATCTGATGCTGAGCTCTTTTCTACTTTACCGCA